AAAAAAAAAAAAGAAAAAACCTCCTTTACCCTCACATTACTTCTGATATTCTGAGACCAAGTATACATGTTTTTCATAACAAGCAATTCTCAATTCTCTGTAAAAAAAAAAAAAGAAAAAACCTCCTTTACCCTCACATTACTTCTGATATTCTGAGACCAAGTATACATGTTTTTCATAACAAGCAATTCTCAATTCTCTGTAGACACCAACTAGATGTTCCACAATTCAATTCAATTGACATGATCTACTTGGAATTGTAGTCAGATCCCACAAGTTAAGGGTTCAGTCCTACAAAACTGCCATATCTCAGATGCCAGTCACAAGTAGTGGGTTCCCAGGTTACCCATAACTTCTGTCCAACTTGGATACATATAGGAGGCTCCTATGACCCCCTCCTCAGGCTCAGTAATTTGTTAGGATAACTTGTACAACCCAGGGAAACAGTTTACTTACTGTTATTAGAAAGGGGTCTTGATCTAGACCCCAAGAGAGGGTTCTTAGACCTCACACAAGAGAGAATTCAGGGCAAGTCCATAGAGTAAAGTAAAAGCAAGTTTACTAAGAAAGTAAAAGAATAAAAGAATGGCTACTCCATAGGCAGAGCACAGTGGTATGGGCTGCTTGAGTATACCTATAGTTATTTCTTGATTATATACTAAATAAGGGATGATTTATTCATGAGTTTTCCTGGAAAGGGGCAAAGATTTCCTGGAATTTAGGCTCCCTTCCCTTTTTAGACCATATAAGCCAACTTCCCAAAGTTACCAGGGTCATGACACTGAGAGTGTCATGGGAGTGTCTTTCAGCATGCTAATGCATTATAGTGAGCAGTGAGGATGACCAGAGATCACTTTTATAGCCATCTTGGTTTTGGTGGGTTTCGGCTGGCTTCTTTACCCCATCCTGTTTTATCAGCAGGGTCTTTGTGACCTGTATCTTGTGGCAACCTTCTTTCTTATCCTGTAAGAATGCCTAATCTACTGGGAATGCAGCCCAGCAGGTCTCAGCCTTATTTTACCTATCTCCTATTCAAGATGGAGTTGCTCTGGTTCAGACGTCTCTGACATTACCAATTTATTACAAAGGATATTTTTAAAGGATACAAATGAATAGCCAGATCAAGAGATACATAGGGTGAGGTCTGGAAGGG